TGATACATTTTATCAAGATGAATAGAAAGTTCAAAAGAACAGCATTGATTTAAAATAGAAATCTTCTGTAACATCATAAATGTCTTTACTGTCACTTTTGATCAATTTAATGCATCCTTGTTGAATAAAAGTATTAATCTTACTGACCCTGAAATTTTTACTTGTACTCTACACTGTGCTATACCAACACTCTATACTATAAATAATATAATATGAAGAGTAATATATAGTGACAAACAGTATTAACAAACATAATAGCTCAATATTTCACTCATATTCAGAAAGTGTCCTTCCAAAAACAAGGCAGATGCTCTCAGATACTCCACGTAGCTCTCAGATTGTTGATGTATTCTTCATCATCAGGGATTTCAATACTCAGACCCTCATAATAGTCCTCGAACTCAGCGTAGGACACGGTCTTGGTGACCTTTCCTGCTTCCCGTACGAAGGCCAGAAGGTCAGGGTTCAGATCGGCTTCTGTCAACAGTTCGACATGAGAATGGTAATAAATTCATAAACATCAATCATCCATGTGGCCTATGCAGTAATACTACTTTTGTAAGTTTGTTGCAAGAGTGAATCTGAAAAAAATGAACTCTATGCAGCCTTTTTGGAAATCAATATTGAAGTGCCACAGGTTTAACACTCAATGTTTGTCATGAAATATTGACTGACACTGAATAAACACAACTAAAATACTATTATCTGTGAGCAAGAGACTAAGTGATCAGTGGCTCACCGAGCGCAGCGTCAAACTCTTGTTTGCCTTTATAGAATTTTTCAATATCGCTGAGGAAGATGGAGTCGGTTTTATTTGGGTCAAGCTTTACATAAACCTAAAAAAGAGAAAGATACAAACATTCAAAATAGCAGCAAATGGCCAGAATGGAAACGCAACAAGTCACAGAGCTCAAGGGCGTCCTCTGGAGGACGAACGCAGTCCGGCTGGTCTGTTACCTTCAGGAAGAAGGCTTTTCTGTTCTGGCTCATCTCCCCGGTAACGGCACGCATCACATCAGCGGGGTGCACCCGCCCCTCCGCACGCCGACTCACAATCCTCCACACCGCCTCGAAGTCCTGTCACACAGGGCATACGCTCACATAATGTCCTACATCAACATGCTTGCTGCTTTCCTACAGCCTCATCATTTCTGCTGTACAGACAGACAGACAGACAGACAGACAGACAGAC